AAGAAGTAGGCTCTAACCGTATCAACTCTTTCTTGATTCGTATACATACTTTTTCAATTAACTATTTTACTAAAATCAAAAATTGTGAAAAACAACTTTCGACATATCCCTCAGCTGCTTTGGCACTTCTCCAACCTCCAAAACACTTCAAAGTAGTGATGTCCGCCCCAAAATCTGCTAAGAAAGTAGCTGATCTGCGAAATGATTGACCGGTGCTATTTTTGTCATTTACAAACCTATCTGCCATTAAAAATAAATCTGCAAGTCCATAAACACCCTGTACAATTCACCGATATCGAAGCAACCCACACGCGAGCGATCGGAATAACGACGTTGCGTAATCATGAATGAAAACAAAATAATTAATTAATGGTGTAAGCGACCCCTCTCTTTGTTTTCGTTGAGGTGTACATGAATATTCAATATTATACGTGGAAGCGGCGTGGATGGCCTAATACACAATAAGTTTACTCGCTGCTCTCGCAAAATAAACCGAAAAGCTTATACAGCTGAAGACAGGTTATAATTATTCACAAGGCTGCGATGGCATAATTTATGGCAATATTATTTGAATTCGGGTTATTTAATTTCAGCTTCATCTCGAATATGTTTGCTTCCCAGATTAGTTCGTCTTCGGGAACTTGAACTTTTGTAATGCTAGTATTTGGAAGACCAGAAGAGTTGTAATCTTTGAATTATTTTTTAATTATTGTTAACCTTTGAATTACACAGCCCCACAAAAGAAAAGGATCGGATCTGGTATTCAAACCAATGTATTTCCATATACTTTTTCGCTGAATCCGAATCTGCCGTCAGATTTGGCCCAACGGGTCTAAGTTTTCGGAAAAATTCAAAAAACAAATTAAAATTCACAAAAAACGTCATTTACGATCGACGAAAGTTATAAAAAATCAAATTATTCTACCAGCTCACTAGACGTATGATTTTTCACTCGTTTAATTCCAATTTATCATCATATAGAGACAAGCTGGTCCAATCTCATTCAAAAACAGAAAATAGATTAAAATACTTAAAAACGCCATATTCATGGCCATAATTCATGTTGCAAAGTTCTGGATCCATCTTTTTATTCACCCACCCATTTATGAATTCATGCATCTTTCTATCCAGTCGTTCATGCATGAATACGCATATTTATTATCAGCTACATAAGTATACAGGTTATGGTCTATTTCTGCAATGTAGAACAAACAACATAAAATAAGTTTAAACTAACTTTCATTTGTACTAAGCTTGTTAACTGTGTTTTTAAAAATTTATTTTCCCAATTAATATTATTTCCACTTAACCACTCTTGTATGTTAGCTTTCTTGGTAGTTGTTGAATTAGGATAGTGCCATAAAAACTTGTATTATCGATGTCAATAGTGGAGGCTTTTTCTAAATTGACCAACAGCTGATATTCACACAAATGCGGGAAATTACCGTACAATTTAATTCCTGCAGGAAATTGCTGCTAGAAAATTGGGAGAGCTCGTTTATGTAGGATAAGATGATAAAACTACATTTTAGTTGTATCGACTAAACCAAGAATGACCTCGTTACAAAACTTTTTATGGCGCCCCTAAGGCTCATTATTTCGCAGATAAGAGAGCGTTGTTTTTTCAGCCGCATAGGATTGTGTATAAGCTAGGAAATTAATTGTAGTAGACGATGTTGCCTTTTTTTTAACATAAAGGATTTTTTGGTTGAGGCTAAATAATGCAAAAAGTTTTTTCAGTTGGATTTATGTTAATGTGACTGGCTAGGATATTTTTTTTCAACATTGAAATTATTAGTACTAGAATTTTCTTATGTAGAGTGCAAAACAACAAATATAAAATAAAGAATACTTTTATTCACTCAAATTTAAAATATGTATTTTCTTATAATATTTGCTCCTGAAGTCTTTCTTCTTTATACGATATATATTCATCTTCATTTGCTTGAAAGACATTTAGAGATATAACGTTTTTTGGTAACTTAAACCTATACAATAGATTTGAGATTTGAGAGTTCCAGTGCAGCCAAAAAGTTAGGAACCGTACCACTTTTCTTTTAAGAAATAAATAGTTCATGTTCCAACATCGGGGAATCTAATCATTTTTCGAAAATTGTACACACTACAAAAGTAATTCAGAATTTACTTCTCCTCTTCAAAGTTTATTGTCTTCCTGCCTCAAGTTTAAGGCAGGAGATCGCAAATTTGTCGTTACTGTTGGTGGAAATTCGAAATATTTGGCTTTTTGTGGCTGAAAACATACATAAGTATTGAATTTTTAAAACCCAGAGAGATGTACTAACCAAATTTGGACAGGACATAGCCAATACAATGTGAAACATTGTTTTACTGTTAAAAACTTTGTCACCGCCGTTCTAGGTGGTAAAAATTGGAAATATTTGGAATTATTCAATTTTCGTGGCCGAAAACCCAGAGAAATGTACTAACCAAATTTGGACAGGGCATAGCTAATACAATGCGAAATATCGCCTTACTGTTAAAAATGTATAAGTTCATTTAATTTCTGTCTCCACAGTTCTGTCAAGTACATAAGAACGGCATCGACCCATACGTCGAGGTCTAGCTTCAATAAACCTACAAATTCTTTTATGATTATGAAATGTAGAACGTTCGTCCACAGCTATAATTTATTGGTCGTATTTCCTCGGATGTTTTGACAAATATATGCATTGCATCGGCCACATAATTTCAATCCCGTCAATGTAGCGCCAGTAACAAATACATATATTAAATAAAATTATATTTATGTCGATGCGAAGCAATGAATATGTAATGTTTTGGCGTTTGGTCGTAATATACGGACAATAAATATATCTCTATGTCTGCGCTAAATATATATCAATACATTTTATATTAAGAACTCCGTCAAATTTTCTGTTATATAATTTGTATGTGATGTAGAATTTTAAAAATCAATTGTTATTAAAGTCAAAATAAGGTTTGAACGTTTATTAAAATTTACATGAGTGATAATAATCTGAGGTATATAGGACGAAAATTTTCGAGTATTTCTAAGGCGAAATTGACTGAAAAATATGGGTATGAAGTATTTCATTTTCGCCTTCTTACCATTGCATTTTTAGCCCTATAGAACACACTTAGGGTACAATTAAAAATAACCATAGTGATCACATGGGTACTGAAGGTAATTCTACTGATAGTTAGCAATGTGAAAGAGCTCTTGGAAAAGCAACATCTGAAGACAGGTCTGCAACAGTTCGCCATATTGAAGAAGAAATTCGGTGTTGGTGGGAGAAGTTGGATACAGTCCAGAGTATATTCTTCCTATAACTGTAAATATAGAAGCAAATAATGTCGACGATAGCGATGATGAAGTTATTGAAGAAAAATATAGTACCGCTATTTCCATGATTCAGCCATGATTCACTATGATTCAAACAAATGATTGTTTAAAATAAATATTGTGATGTATTCCCTGCTATTGTTTTGGTCTGTTTAAAATAATAATAGGTACTAAGAAGTCTAGAAAATATTAACTGCAATAAACATATTATATTACGCAGTTCTAAACAAAAATTAATTGTTTGATTGTTTCCTATATTAATTAAATAGAATTCATAGTTTGCAGTTCTATACTACTATTTAATACTGGATTCGATAACAAAAAATTGATTTTCTTAAATATCCTACAAAAAACTACAACCTGGCAACACTGTACCATTTCTTACTGCGAGTTCATGCAGCACTTTGGAAAAGTTAGAAACAATATCTCTTCACTGTACCAGTTATGTAAGTTTTTTCAGGATATAAGACAACTGACAATACATAAAAAAGCATATTTTTACCTCGTACATTTATCTTACGTTCTCTGAATGTTACACACCTGTTGAACATACAGAAAATCGCTTACGATACCATAAACATAATCACATTCCGCAGACTGTATTTAAGAAACTTTTCACACATGCATTAATCACAAATTTGCTGGACAAAACAGGTACATTTTCTGATGTTTACACGTTCTCCTTGATCTTTCAATGCGAAAAATTAAAGGGAGTTGCTCTAGTTTAGCAATACGCTTCATCACTTGTTGAATGGATCTACTTGTTCTATCATTGTCTTACTAAAAGTGCGATTTTTTGTTTATAAAGCGCCAGGCTTAACAAGATCGATTTTCCACTTTTTTTTTGTTTTGGAGAATATCAAATTCATTTGGGACACCCTGTATGCAATGAGATTTTATAAGCATGGCTGTAAGAGTTTTGTTTATAAAACTTTGAAATAATGAAGATATCATTTGATATTTAAAGTGATGTTTCAAAAACTATACCAAAGAATGAAATGTTAAATATTAATAATATTTTGTTTGTTAGTCATTTCTGTCACTGGAAGTGAGGATGAAACAGGTAGGGACTGTTCTCTGGCTTTTCTCAGAATTAGTTCACATTTTATTCAGTCATATTTTGTCCATGTCATAACTAAACTGGAAGAAATTTATTACTATTCAAATTAGAATTTAAAAAAAAATTGATTTGTATAACCATCCAAAATTACCTAACCTCAATAAAATTAAAAGTATTTTTATACAAAATGAAACAAGTCGTGTAACTTTTTCTTTTTTAAATTTTATAAACAACTTATGCTTATGACAGAGGGGTTTATTTTCATTTTCTTTTTTAATTTACATTGTGGCAAAATACTCGAAAGAGAAAATCTATTTAAGAAATGTCTCAAATAAATATTTTCAGCCAAGACTTTTATCAATTTTTATTAACAGTCTGAATCACCTGAAACTCGTAGATAGGTTGGTTAAAATTCTGGATCAAAAATGATCTCACGAACAACCTGCTGAAGATGACATGGCATAAATTAAAAAAAAAACACCAGTATTGTTTGTACAGAATTAAAACTTTTGTTAGAATCATTCACACTGTATGGGAAAGACCAACTTTGAGCTGAAGTAGCTCACGAAAAACAATCTTAATATTATATTGATCTCCTACGTATTTTATTTGTAGGCAGCAACTACTGTGGATGCTCAAACAACATGGGGGGTGTGTCACATCCAGAATCCCTAAGTGTCACCCTTACCTCGGAAAGGGGGCACGGCTACGGTTTGGCGGTTTCTGTAGGAGATCACACTGAGAACCGGTCGGCCGACATCCTCATATCCAGGATAGCCACGGACTCGCCAGCGTACAGGTAAGGTAGCTAAGGTCTAAATATCTTTCACATATCATGAAGGATCTTATAAAAAAAACAACCTGAATTTCATTTATTTATACATGTTGTAGGCCATCGTTCCAATAAATGATGGATTAAACTGAAATAAACTTAAAAGTATTACACGATATAGATCTTTAAGTTAACTGCTTTCGAAATATTATCATTTAAATCAAAAGGGTAATAAAAAATATTACACAACTTGGCAACGTCGCATTACATTGCGCACAATGCAAGGCAGCACAACAAGAGTCAGCAAGCTTTTAGTGACGTCATTTTATTTTCTCATTCTTCTCAGCAAACCCTTTCATTTGATACCTATATCATGGGGGTGCATAAAAAATAACTGGTCCGCCATCTTTGGGAATCCGCTATATTGGATTTAGAATGACGTCACTTAGCTAACCATGCATTGTCATCTAAACTAAACGTGTATCCAAAATTTCAGCTCACTATTTTAAAATTCAGTTGCAAGATTTGATCTATTGTAGTATAACAACCCCGGGTTCGATCGAAAAAAAATAAGTAAACGTAGTTGTGGCCAGAAATATGTGATCGTCATGAGGAATACCTACGTTGTATACATCTATTTTTAATTGACTGGAAGGCGCTGGCTACTAACTTTAAAGAGGGGAAGTATGGTTTAATTTTATAAAACAAAAGCAGAGTTTAATACACCTAACTTTATTATTTACGTACAACAGTCTTCAAATTAAACATGTGGCAAATAGAAAGAACAACAAAAACATTAACAACCATTTAACATAAAATGAGAGTGCCAGGATCAGCTCCTGTGGGGAAAGAGCATGGCAGAGAAACCCACGATCGTTGCTCTAACTACCCAAATATAAATACAAAACAACCGCTAACAAAAGGCATAAATTAAGATACTTTGCTAATGCTAATTAAGACCTGACTTATTTAATGTGTCACTAAATGTCACCTCACTCGAATTAACATACACACTTCCAAGTAAAATTGAAGAGGTTATAATAATAATTACAACAACAACAATAATAACGACAATAATAATAACAACAATAAGTAAGGTACTGCAGTCCCATACGGGAGGCAATCCAGCTATGAGTTGAGATTTCGGAAGATCTGTTTTAGCAATTCTTTTTTTTGTATTTAATTATTCTTTTTTACAGATTCATTCCTCACGGGCGAAAATGTTAGTAAATACAACAAAGCTCTTACATGCGTATGACATAAAGTGAGCACAAGAAATGCTTTATTACTTGCTTATCGAACAACGTAATCATGATAAAACAAGTTAAATGTGAAACAAAGGAGTTGTTATCGCAATATCCGGGCAGTCACGACAATATATACATATTTTAACATGTAATAAATAATGAGAAATCTTTAATAATAATTGTAACAATTTTACGTTAGAAAAATATACGCCCTTGAGCACAAGACAATGAAGGCTAAACATACACATAATTATTATCATGAAACATCTATAACCATCACAATCATAAGATTACATAGAACAATTAACAACAAAGGACTTAGAGAATAATTACCTGCTAATTAATACGGGTTAAACACTTTGATTTTTCACTATTTTGTCACACTGCCCGCTGATCGTCTTACTCCCATCTCCACACTGTTCTCACTTCGACTATCTAGGCTTCCTTCCAGAATTCCCCACCTAAGCGTTTGTTTTTGCGCTTCCTTCTACCAACTGTCAATATTACGTTTTCATTATTATACAACACCCACGTAACAGGTGACGTCGAAGTTGATACGATAAGTATGGTTTTGCACACTATACTAACAAGGCTAGTTAAATAACCCTAGAGCCTGAAGTATGGTAATTCTACTGTGACTGACATCCATCTTTCTGTAGATTATGTTCGTATAATTGTTTATGTCATGACACGTAATCAAATAAGTGCAATTTTCAAAGTACTCGTAATTTTTTTGGACTTGAAGAATGCTTCTCTAAAATGAAACAAGGTGAATATAAAAGAAAAAGCTTGCTCTTTCCCATGGTAGAAAAAGGTTTTGTGCTATTTAAAATCTGTAATGGACGTAGTCAGCTTCTAGGTCTTGTTTCAAAGTTATAAGCATAAAATATCTGCCCCAAATTGAAGTGACGGATTATTTGAGCAATTTTGTGAGATAACCGCAATAAAACTTTTTAATTTTTGTCACAGTTGTACTTGGTTGCCATTTTTTATTTTCATTATGTGACGCTGTAGTTAAAAAGTTGAAAAACCCCATTATAAGTTTGCACATCGTTTGTAGGGTATTAAACAAACAATAAACTTATACATGTAAACTGCAGAAAATTACTGTTGATTGCATTTTCATAATTAGCTTGATATTAACAATAAATTCCAATCGCAAAAATAATAGCAACGTACTGTTTGACATCGAAATTTATGAAATTGCGTTCTATTCGAAACTGAAAATACTATACAAAATAATTAATACACGGGCCATTAAAACTACTTGGTTTCAAACAGATCGAAGTAAAAAGAGAATTGTTGTTATGTTTCTTCTGTAAAGTAATATACCTATTTTATTTTTATTACCAAATGTCGAATCCAAACGTTGCATTTGCTGTTTTTAAACGATTAAACCGATTAAACAGCTATGATTTGTTTTAGGAATCCGAACGGCCACAATCCGTATTATTTGTACTGTAATATATTTTCTCTTGCAGCTCTATTTATTTTAACTGCGCAATGAAAATACTGGGAAATCGTCCCGATACATTAATTTAGTGGTATGGCTGTTTATACAACTGAAAACAAAAGGTTATAACAATTAAACAATTACCGTTTAACTTACTCTATTGCCAACAGTAGTAAATTATTTTATCTGCTCCCACTATAGTAAATACACTATTAATACATTGTTTTTAAGGACGTAAGTGGAAGTTGCTATGGGCAACGGTAGGTAAGTGAGCTAACTTACCTCCCTTGGGAAAAAAGCGATTTCGAGTTATAAATACATATTTTATGCACGAATAAATAGAAATATTTTATGAACATTACATTTTATTAATTATTATGGATGAATATTTATAGTAATTGTACAGTCATTACATTTAATAATATTTATACAATCTGGATAATTATTCCCCTCGCGTTTACTGATTATCACATTTTTCTCAAAATGATTTGACCGCTCCATTTCTGTCACCGGAGGCTCAATATTATCTGACTGGTCCATTAAAACAGCAAGATGCGACGTACTACTAGAACCTGGAGTTGAAGTGTTAAACTGTCAACTTTCTGCTATTATGGCTGATTTCCACCTACCATGACCCTTGATTGCTAATACATCAACTCCCGTATTAGCCAGTAACGTTGCCGATGTTCTTCGGAATGAATGGCCTGTATATGTTTCAGGATGTTCTAGTTTCAAAAACTGCAATCTTATTAGGAATCATAGGAAGGGTATTCTTGCCGACTGGTTGGTCGTAACATCTACTTGTTTGATAGCGCATAAAAAAGCGTGAAACTTCAGTTTTAATCTCCAATCTAATCTTGACATATTTCGTCTTCAATGTAACCATCCTTGTCTGTCGCACGGATTTCTATAACTTACTTTATCGCTCTCACGTAACGGCCAATGTACCATGGGGACTTTCCGAACCTGTATATCTTGATGTAATCTCTGAGACAGAAGGAAGTTTAGTTGCATCGAAGAATCTTAACGTCCGACTTTCTGTCACTGTCCCATTAGCTAAGCTCCACCATGTTTACTTCGCAGCTTTTTATCCACTCTCGCCGCCTTTTTTCGATCTTGAAACGCTGTAATTCGTTATAAAAAGGCCTTATTATTAGTTAAAAGAGCCGAGAACCCTTCATTCGACGGTTCATGAATGGGAAATAATTAATGGCGCGAGCCAGATTGAAGTATTAATTATTCTGAAGGTCTGCCTCCAGTTTAGCCAGTTCACTGTTTTAGTCCGATTTGACAGCCGCCACAGGTAACCCTACTTCCCCTGCTTGAATTCGATGTTTACCAGATAATTAATGAATGGCTGCGGTTTAGAATGGTGGGGGGTGGGGGTGCTGCAGAATTCAAAGACTTTAGAAAAGGCGCGGAACGAGCGCTTTTACAAATTTTATGTGCGATCGTGTCAAAAGTGACAGGTTGTTTACTTAATTTCCTGTATAAGGAATTAGCTTTTATAAGGGCCTGTGCAATAATAGTTATTTATCGTATAAGTGTTTTAAGTATCCACGCAAGTATATTTAATATTCTTAAGTGGATAAAAGGCAATTAAAACACGAATTCAATACATTTTATCCATAATCACATCACAATCATATTTGTGGAGTCAGAATTATTGGAATCGCACGGCTTGATATTTCTTACTAGTACTCTATAAAACTTGGTAGGATTTGTTATACCTACCTACTGGTTTCTATGGTTCTATCTGAATTTGGTAAAAATGCGAAAAAATAATTGTGTTTCTGTGACTGTTTTCGAGGAAGCTCAAGAAGCAATTTTCCATTTATTGCCAACGAAATCCAGGGAACATTACGAAAATGTGTTCGCTGAATTTAACAAATGAAGGAAAAACGGAGAGTAATGACAGACAATGAAGAAATCATGTATTCGTATTTTTTAAATTTGAAGAAAAAATATGCAATTTCATCTATGTGGTCGAAGTATTCGATGTTAAAGGCTACTATAAAGGTCTACAAAAATATAGATATTGAAAATATAACAAGGTTACTGCTAATTTGAAGAGTGAATCGAGAGGATACAAAGCAAAAAAAGCTGCAGTATTGGAAACACCACATATTGAAAAATTTTTTACTGGGGCTTCCAATAAAGAATATTTAATGATTAAGGTAATATCTCTGTACCTTTTACCTGTTGTTAGGTATACATGGTGTAACTAAATAAGTGTAAAACATTTAAGGGGGTGATTCCTCATCGAAAAAAAGATAGGATCTTTCATATAAAGAAACTTCATTGGAGCATCCCTTGTTAAGATACAG